TTCTGTCTCTGGCCCCTGGAGGCCTGTGATGCATTTCTGTGTCCTATTGCCACGGACTGTCCTGGGAGTCTTCAACATTGACTCCGGACTCTGGGAAGTCTCATGGTTTCAGGTCAAACGTGGGCAAGGAAACGTCTTGTGGATTACCCCGTACTGTCTTCCCTCAGCTGATGAATGAGTACTCCTCTATGTTGAACATCACTCAGAGGAAGCACAGAGGGTGATAAAGGTGCTCTGTGTGAGGGTATTTCAGAATCCACCACCAAGAGGGGCCGGGGCTGTTACTGTCATTTTCATCAGTTGCAGACACAATGGGCTGAATGGCCTCTTTAGAGGCTTAGAGATTTACAGCATGGAAGCAGGCCCCTTTGGCCCAATTTATCCATGCTTCCCGGATTTCAATAGTAATCAAGTCCTGTGTCCCTCAGTTTGTTCCATATCCCTCCGTACCTATCCCATCCATGTAGCTGTCCAAATGAGTCTTAATGACAAAATTGTACTCGACTCCACCACTACCTCTGGCAGCCCATTACAGATGCTCACCACCCTCTGTGTGAATAAATTGCACCTCTGGAGCGTTTTATATCTCTCCCCTCTCACCTTAAACCCAAGCCCTCTAGTTTTAGACTTCCCTACCATGGGGAAAAGGTCGTCCGCTATCTACCTTATCTATGCCTCTCATGATTTTATAAAACCTCGATTAGGTCATCCCTCAGGCTCCTATGCTCCAGGGGAAAGAAGTCCCAGCCTATCCTCACAACTCAAACCTTCCAGTCTAGGTAGCATCCTAGTAAATCTTTTCTGCGCTCTTTCTAGTTTAGTAATGTCCTTTCTATAGTAGGATGAGCAGAACTGTACTCAGCACTAGAAATGTGGCCTTACCAACATCTTATACAGCTGCAACAAGACATCCCAACTCTTAGACTCAGTGATCAATGATCAATGAAAGCAAGCACACCAAAACTGCCTGGGACTCCACTTTCAAAGAGCTATGACCTTGTGCCCCTCGATATCATAGAATCCCTCCAGTGTGGATCACCAAACAAGTCCACACTGACCCTCAGAGCATCCATCCCAACCAGATCCATCCCAGATCCATCCCCCGATAGCCCACCTAATCTGCACATTCCTGGACACTATGGGGTAATTTAGCACGGCCAATCCACCCTAACCCGCACATCCCTGGGCACTATGGGGCAATTTAGCACGGCCGATCCACCCTAACCTGCACATCCCTGGGCACTATGGGGCAATTTAACATGGCCAATCCACATTAACCTGCACATCCCTGGACACTATGGGCAATTTAGCACCACCAATCCACCTTAACCTGCACATCCCTGGACACTATGGGCAATTTAGCATGGCCAATCCACCCTAACCTGCACATCCCTGGACACTATGGGCAATTTAGCACGGCCAATCCACCCTAACCTGCACATCCCTGGGCGCTATGGGGCAATTTAGCACAGCCAATCCACCCTAATCTGCACATCCCTGGGCACTATGGGGCAATTTAGCATGGCCAATCCAACTAGCCTGCACACCTTTAGACTGTGGGAGGAAACCGGAGCACTCAGAGGAAACCCCACAGAGACACAGGGAGAATGGACAAACTCCACACAGACAGTTGCCCAAGGATGGGATCAAATCCCGGTCCCTGGCGCTGTGAGGCAGCAGTGCTAACCACTGAGCCACTGTACCATCCATAAGATGGTGTATCTTTTGCATGGTTTCTATTTTCGGCCAGATTGAGGGAGGGTGTAACGAGGGAAAACGGAAAGGATTAGGGAGGGAATTCCTGAGCTCAGCCTCCCAGGCACAACTGCTGAAGCTCGGGGAATGGCTTGGGAGCTCAGAGCTCATCCTGCAAATTTAATTGCCCCCTTGAGTGCGAGAAAACCCCTTTACAGATGAGCCAGTCTCCTCCCAGAACCTTCAATTCCAACTTCAAAGGCTTGAGCCTCTGATTCAGACTGCCCTCTCTGACCCCATTATCAACCACTCTTCACCAGATGCCTTTCAAGAATGTCGGATTGTAGGAAAGGACACCTGCAGGTAAGTTGAGAAGCAGTTTGAAGGATTTGAGCTCTTCATATCTCTCCAAAGGTTGTTCAATGTCAGTGTCTGAGGAGTTGCTGGAGGATAGGATTTAATGAGCTGTGCGTTTGTCAGACTATTATGTAAAGGTTTCCTCAAGTGGCTGAGGAAGAGAACGTGAATGAAAATCCTGAGCTTTTGTTTTTGAGACTGAGTTGAAATACTCGGAGAGGAAGGGGGGGATTCTATCTGCGCTCATGGCTGTGATTCATCGACATAGAGCAACATGGGATAATCGGAGAGGAACAGATGGTACAGCAAGGGGCCCATCAACACACAAAGCCCTACAGCACCTTCCATAACAATGACCTCTACACCTGGGTGGCACGATGGCTCAGGGGTTAGCACTGCGGCCTCACAGCGCCAGGGACCTGGGTTCAATTCCAACCTCGGGCAATGTTGTGGAGTTTGCACATTCTCCCCATGTCTGCATGAGTTTCCCCCCATGCTCCAAAGATGTGCATGTTAGAGTGGATTGGCCATGCTAAATTGCCTGTAGTGTTCGGTGATGTATAGGTTAGGTGTGTTAGCCATGAGAAATGTAGGGTTACAGGAAGAGGGTAGGGAGATGTGTCTGTGTGGGATACTCCCCAGAGGGTTGGTAAGGATGTGTTGGACCAAATGGCCTGTCTCCACAGTGTAGGGATTGATTCTGTGTACTGTACTGTTCCAAGCTGTCCACGCCACTGTCCTGAAATATATCAGCCATTCCTTCAGTGCCAAAATCCTGGAATTCCCTCCCTAAGGGCATTGTGGGTCTACCTACAGCACACAGACTGCAGTGGTTCAAGAAAGCAGCGTCACCCCCACCTTCTCAAGAGGGCAACTAGGGCTGGGTATTAAATGCCAGGCCAGCAATGCCAACATCTCATGCATGAAGAGACAAAATTCCCCATATAACCTCTAAAGACCCTTCCCTAACTCCCTCACTGAAGACAATCCCTCTGGTCCCTAGCTCTTCATTGAAGACCGACTTGCTGGCTGAGCCCAGTAATTCCACTGTCATTGAGGGTAGAAGTTGTTTTGAATTGTCTTTCCTCTCACTGAAGCTCAACTACTTACCCACTTCCCATCCTGCACCCAATCCCTGGATTGGTTTGTGATTTCGTTGGGAGTGGAGAGAAGCTTAGACTCTATCCAATATCTTAGAGCAGGTGGGAGGATACATCTCCTTAAGAAGCCGCGTGCCTTGTGAACTCAAATCTGTAACCGGTAGATTGGTCCACGTGGAAGGGAAGCCACAGACGACTGGGTAGTAGGGACTGGAATGGAGGGAATGCAATAGCCTGTAGGTCACGCGATACTCAGCTTCAGGGGCCAGTGAACTTCCGTGATGTTATCAAATTCTGTGATTCCTTTCTCCCAGCTGTGTCCCCCTCTCCCATCTCCTTTCATTACAACCGTGTGTCTCGCTGATTCACATGATTTGGTGGCAACTTGCAATTGACTCTCAGGGTTACCACTTGTTGGATCACTACATTACTACTACAAGACTCAAAGTATATCCCTTTCAAACCTCAGTCTCTCTCTTTCTCACACACACAGACACACACACACAGACACACTCACATTCACAAACACAGACACACACACACACATACACAGACACATATACTGACACACACTCAGACACACATACTGACACACACACACACACACACACAGACACACATACTGACACACACACACACACACTCATACACACACTGATACACACACATTCACACACACACACACATAATATTCACAGACACACTCATTCTCACACACACACACACTCACATTCATACAAACACTGACACACGCACACACACACAAACACACACTGTCACTTCCCACTCACCTCAGAATGTGCATTCCACTCAGCAAACTGACCAGCCATAACTTAA